TAGTTCATTCAATTGATTATGAAATACCATGAAGATTCAGCCAACAACAAGAATCTATGTGTCTTTGAAATTTATGAAGTAAGAAAAATATTGCTCTAGTTAATTATAGTTTCATTACCAGTTCATTCAAAGATAAAGAAGAACATTCATAATTGATTGGTCACTGGATGGTGATCAATGTCATGAGTGTCAAGGCCTTATTATTAGTGCGAATCGAATGCTATCGATCATGTTGCAATGTGACCACTAGTCTAGGTGACTCAACACTGCGGGCACTATATATTGAGATTAGATGGTAGTTGGGGGTAGTCGACAGGAAACCATGGACCCGGGTTTCCTGCTACTTGACACTCGCCAGCAAGATGTACCTGTAATCTTGAGGGAACTGGTGCTCCCTGACGGATTCGATCTCGTGTCACCCAGCTTCACAGTCAGAGACGTTGCCACAGAGCTATCCGGGCAGCGACTGACCTCCTGTATGACTGAGATGTAATCACAATTGATTGATCACTTGGTGGTGATCAATGTCATGTATATCAAGTCCTTATTTCTTCTATGACAGTGCTAATTTACGATATCGCCTCACTAGATTCGAACCTATGACTTATCAGTCTCATGCGCGAACAATTAACATCTAGACCACTGAGTCAGTTGACATCCAATGGTGATAATATCTAACTTCAACTAATCCACCAAATTGAGCCACATATCATCGTCATCAGCTAGTTACTATCTCACAACAGACCCGGTTGAACTCCACTGGTTACTGCTTCTCACTAGAACTCCAGGATATATCTCTTGAAGCCAGTCACTGGTGATGGATGCGCACTGTCACGGAGGAGTCTCTCAATAAGATGAGACGTCTGTCCAGTGCTTCCAGGTTTTCCGTGATGGTCTAGCCTTAATTGACTCATCATTTCAACTATTAAAATGTTTTAGTTACAATAATTAAAGGTCATAGTGGTGTATAAAAAATAAATAAAGTGATATGATGATGATCATTTATGAATAAAATGATGAGAATTCACTTGGCTGTCTTTCTTTAAACGACGAGATTAAAATCGCTTGATATCTTTCTTAAAATTAATGAACTCGATACTTATCAACTGGATTATACTCAATTTCTATGTTCACATTGGGACTCGAACTCAATTGTTTATTTTCTTTATTCTCCGACACATTAATAATGATAGTAATAATAATATGGTTCATTAGTTATACTCATATCAATAATTACAAATGACGTACTCTGAATGAATATGATTTAACTCTATTGAAACCATTCTAGGTCATTATATTGTAATCAGCAATCAAACATGTTTTCTTTCGGTGAAGTCAATCACAAGTGTGGCAACATAACTTCAGTTTTTTTGTGTGTGTGTGTGTGTGTGTTTAATTACTTCATGAAGTGATTAAGATTGATAAACGTAGTCATGATAATTATTGACCAGAAAGATAATCTGTTTCACATTACTTATAATGTTCTTCAATGGATTTACTACCAAGCGACGAGACTATAATTTATGAACGAACCGATTGGATATAAGATAAATGATCTCGGATTTTTGGCACGATATTCATTCATTCATCCATTTAGTTAAATAGCGTCTTGTCATTATGGATGTTGTCAGTTTATGATTAAAACTCGATATCTAGTGTTTAACCCTAACTGTCAACCGTAAATCATAATTCTAATTCCTCACACAACTTTATTACAATCATTTAGTCCTAGTTTGTAAATGGATATTCACGGGGTCTATTTATTTACTTATTTGGAAACATAGATATTGGTACAAGGGAGCACCAGATATATTTGTGTGAGGGCTGTGATACTGCACGGGTGCCCAAACCGAAGCAGGTGGTTTTCTGAGGGGGCCACACCCCTGAAGTCTATGTGCACCATTGGTTTGGAACCAGGGTATTCCAACTGTCCTAGGTGGACCCTCCGTGTCCACCAACGCGGTTAAAGCGCCAGACATTCACTTTTTATCCTCTCAATTTCGTAAACAACACCCCCGTGGTGTGGGAAGGCAGTGAATTGGACTTCCCTGGTAGTAGTAGTTGTATGCACCTGGCAATGGGAGAACGGACTCTTCCCACTCTCGGCCATACCAGGGAATTTGGGGGCGGATCATTTTATCATCGCTCAAAGGTCGTCCATAAATTATAGTCTCACCGAAACGAAATATAATGTGAATTCAGTAAGATAATCAAAATGTTTTTGTTACAATAATTGAAGGTAATTAAAGGTAATAGAGGTGCAAAATTAAATGAAATGATAACAGAAACAATTATGAATAAAATCATATGGATATAAGACATGAGTAAAATGAGAGGGAGATTACAAAATGCAAAAAAATAACAGATTAAGGCCAAGATAACGATAGGATGTATTTCTTTTGTACTCACAATTTCTTGGCTTGAGATCATGGTGGTAGGGACTTCTGTTATTTTAAGTAGTTGGATAAAAAGAAATCTAAATAGATTTAGATGAATCGTATAAACAACCTTAAAATCAAACTGTGGATCAGTAGAATGATTAAAGTCGATTAGATGTTGAAGAATGGAACTTTTCACTGTTTTACTTTTACTTTTTGTAAAACCACATTGGGATATGTTCTCATATTCGAGTTGAAAACGACAGCTGGCTATGGTCTATTTATCTAGTTTCACAAGAGCAGGTGAACAACTGATAGATACCATTGTATAGCTTCATAATAAATTTGATGAAAAGAGATCTTTTTCGTTGAACTTTCTGTTCTTAATGTTTAAATGGGAATTGTATATTAATTATAATTTCCTCTGAAGCTTCTTTGTTCAATAACAATTTATGTTTAACAAAATAGACAACCAAAAAAAGACTTGAGTTATCAGAGGCTAAGTAATAAGTATTACAATACTATTGGGAATAAATATAAACTCCGCTTGTAGCTCTTCTAAAGTTACTACTGGTTCAAAACTCGAGTAAAGGAGGAGGAGGGTTGGGCATAAAGTCGGCAACCCCCATCTCGTAGGAAATAAATCTTGCTAAAATAGAAAAAAGAACGCCGATCAGATAAAAAAATTGGGAATAAAAATTACACTAAGAAACTACTAATTATTACACACAATTATTGTTACAAATTAATATAAATGAAAATTATTTTCAGAAATAGTTCTGTTTATATAAAAGTGGATAGGTGTATGTTCTGTATGTGTGTGTGTGTGCACACCAGAAAGATCCTTCTAATTCTATCGATTGCCCGTACTATTTTCCCCATGGCATTTCTTAATGTCATTTTCCCCCGATCTCTCTCTCTCTTTCTGTAAGGTGACTGGTAATTTATGAGAGGTATACATATGTAAGATTAATTAATGGATAGAGATATCTCAAGCTTCATACAAATGGGAATAAAGAGTGATTTAATAGAGACAAAGGGTTTTTGATTGAAATCATTAACCGATTGATGTTAGACCACCTTTGGCAGCCTGGAAGCATTGTATAGTCGTTTCGTCCTATTGTGGGACTACTCAACAGTGCGCATCCACGATCCCGCTCATGGGATTCGAACCCAGGGTCTTCAATCTCGCACTCGAACACTTAATCTACTGGATTGCTGAACTGGCATCCAATGGTGTTAGTGTCTAACATCAACCAATCCACGAAATTGCGCGACCATCTTCCATTGTACTGATGCAGATACTTGTCTCTACCCGACACGGATTAGCTGCAGGGGTTTATCACTGAATTTATTGTTAAGTGAACAAGAATAGAATGTAATTCGGATTAGAAAAACTAATTATGTTGATGATGATGATGATGTAAGAAGTGTGGTAAACAAAATGAAAGTGTTTTATTTTTCTTTCTTAGTATACAATTAAATGAAATTCTCATGGAAGTGAATGAATGAATGAAGAGGGTAAAATGTACTGGAGTAGATGATGTGTATTTATTATCTAAGTAATGTTTTCTATTGTACATTTAATTTCATTTGAAGTGGATAAAATCGCACGCACACACACACACACAGTGAGAAGTAGTTGAATGTGAGTGATTTGCAGGGGGAACATTCATTGTGATAATAAAAACTTTACATTTGATTCTTAGATTCACAAAATGTTTGCTAAATTTCAACTCAAATGATAACAATTTAAGGATTGTTTTAGGGGGTTTCCAAAAAAGAAATATAAATCAAACAGAAAGTTGGAACAGGTATGTACAACGTAGCAGTTTTATGTTTGTGGTGAATTGAAAAAAACTCTCTAGAGTCCAGTTTCTAAAATAGGATTCAATATTTTATAAAACACTGAAACCTGTCTTCTATTTAATGGAGAGTTGGTAAACATCGGTAAGATGTACGTACCTTCATTTCTGAAGGGGGTTGTGCAGTTGTGTGAGCTTCGAACCTATGTCATCCTATTTTCACCATCTGGGTTGTTACCACTGAGTTCTTACGACTGTGACTGACCACCTTCATGGCCTATATATTTACAACTGATTAGTGATCAATATCTTGTTCTCCGAGTCCTCTAGTTCTATTTGAATTCTGTGTCATAGGAAGCATCACTTCTCTTAGCATTATGGATGACAGTCAACTAAAACAAAATCCAAGTGAAACAGAGTCTTCTGTCCACTACTTTTAATTGTCCTAATATCTTGACAGTATACACGCTATGTCAAATCACCTAAATTAGTGACCACACTGCAAACTTTATCGACATAATTTGATCACCACTAGACAGAACTAGACAAACATGATATTTATCAGTACTCAGTGGTTAAATAATTGTTAATACTATGTTAATCTTTATTACCAGTCAGAATGTCTGGATAGAGATCTGTTATTATTGTTACCATCATTGTCATTGTAACATCTGATTGAATTTCTATCGTAAACAAAACTTAAGGGATTATTATATATTTTTAGTGTCAACCAACTATATCGATCGGGAATCCGATCTAATTTTCGTGTACTTTTTACTCATTTCTTCTATGTTTTCTCTTTTTTTTTTCTTGTCAGGTATTTTCATCTACGTGTTTGGGTGTTATTTTCTCTCCTGTTCAGCGTTATTTCCCCTTCACTTCCTCCTTCTCCCACAACTCTAGTTTTGTTATATTGATTAGTAGTCGAAATGTTGGTTCATTTGAATTGACAGAAGTGGATGATGATTCCGCGTTCTTTCTTTCACCCCCCCCTAAATTTTTCATGATTATGTAATAAGTTACTGTGTTTTGTTTAATTTGTGTGTTCTATCTTATTATTCATAATATTAGATTTGATTTCTTTTGGCAATCAGAATTCAATTCATTTTGATGTAACTTACTTTGGAATGCCGTATATCTGGATGTCTGTACACACACACACACACACACACCCAAAACTACATATATCCAGAAATAAAAAAGATAACCAGATCATCATTATTATTGAACAAACATTAAATTCTGTGTATTTTTTCCCTAATGTAATCATATTTTGTTGTTATGAGATGTTTAATTATCCCAAACTGGATGGAATTTTCAGGTTGACTTCTTGTTGTTATTGTTGTTGTAATCGTAGTGATGATGCTTTCTGTTTCATAGTTAATTGCGTAATAAATGGATAAATTATTTTAAATGAGTTTGACATTGTATCTAGTTGATAAGGTTGTAAGAATCGTACTTTTACATCCACATTGTAGCAAGGTGTACCTGTAATCTTGAGAGAACTGGTGCAACCTGACGGATTCGATCCCGTGTCACCCAGCTTCACAGTCAGAGATGTTATCACTGAGCTATCCGGGTTGCGATGTCTAGTCACCTATCGATAGCATTCTATCTGCAGTAAGAAGGACCTGACACACATGAAATTGATCACCACCAAGTGATCAATCAACTGTGATTACATCAGTCCTACGGGAGATCAGTCGTGGACCCGGATAGCTCAGTGGTAACGTCTCTGACTGTGAAGCTGGGTGACACGAGATCGAATCCGTCAGGCTGCACCAGTTCTCTCAAGATTACAGGTACACCTTGCTGACGTGTGCGAAGTAGCACGAAACCCGGGTCCAAGGTTTCCTGTTGACTACCTCCAACCACCATCTAATATATCGCCAATCTTCGTATATCTCTATCGACTTAATCCGTGTTGGTGAATAATGGAATTGAATAAGTCAAAAAGACCAAATGTTAAATTCATTAGGAATACGGTTGAATTCACTTAAATAATGTATCCGATAGTTGTCTGAGTTAGATGAGCGTCCAGATTACACGGAAATAACAATCAATAAATAATATATACATAGTTACACAAAAAGTCATAATTAGTTAAAGACAAGATTACAGTCTGGCACAAAGCAGTCAAGTGCAAAAAAAAAAGAAATTCGCAAGCAAAGTTGGGTGGTGTTTAGCAGTGTAATTCACAATACACATTGATTGGTTCTTTTTGTGATTCACTTGATGGATGTATCAACTACATCACACATTTGATAATCATTTCGAATCTAGAACTCAATACCGTTCACGTCAAACTCAATCACGTTATCCAATGAACTACTCAATTCAGATACCCACGGACTTATGTAACAGGGTGGATTTTAATCAATATTCATTGTTTGTTTGAATTATCTCAGTATTTATCTGAGCTCATTAGCTGAGTGGATAACGTGATAGCGTTTGAAGCGAACCTTAATGTATCCGAGTATTGGAGTGAACATCAACTCCGAGATGCAGATACATCCAGCTGACGAATCCCAAATAGGACGAATCACGCATCAAACCGAATCCCAGTACTAGCCACTATTCGTCTTTGCTTATAAAGCTTTTGAATTAAGGCAATATCGAGACATTCCGCACAAATGCAGTTCTAAACGACAACGGGAAGATACAAGTAAACAACATCAAGTGAATTTATTATTATTGTTAATGTTATTCTATCAATGGGAATGAACAATGTACAATCATTGATTAGAACAGATAATTAGAAACAGAGTGAAGGAACCGAGCAGGAGAGATCGAAGTGAAACAGATTTGAGAAGGTATGTTAGCTAACTCGATTTAACCAAGAGTCAGATAAAAGTAAGCTACATATATGTGATGAGTAAGATTAGAAATACAACACATACGCTTACATAAAACAGTCAAGGTTGATAAGTGAATAAGTGACAAGGTCAAAATGTAGCTTGAGAAGAATGGGCAGATTAGTTTGTCCAGAAGCTAGGATAATATATATAGGCATGACATAGGGCCAGCCACTACACGTTGTTCATGATAGTTTTACATGAATGTATAACTAATTTACAATTGATAGTCAGATAAATCACCACTACTTTGGACGGATTGTGGAAATTGTTGAGCTTCATAATTTACGTGAAGAACTGATCTTAATTAAATAACTACTCTATAGTTATTTTATTCTAATATGGAATCCCATAGTGGGATTATGCATCCACAACTCTACCCCATTGAGATCTCTTGGTTAATACTTAACTTTCCGATTATTGAGCTGGTATCCATTGATTTGGATAATCTGAATTTAATCGATTCACTTTATTGTGTAAACAATATCCAATACCACTACTAATGGGTAACTGTCTAACACTTGGCATGGCTGAACTGACATACATGACATTGATCACCTGTAGTGTCGGTTATTATGTTTAGGCCATATACCTTATTCTAGCTTCTGGACAGGCCAACTTATCCGTTCTTCTTGAGTCACGTTTTGATCTTGTTAATTATTTGCTTATCAACGCTGTTTTTATATGAGCGTATGTGTGTGTACACTTCTTATCCCACTCATCACATGTCTGTAACTACTTTTATCTGACTATGAGTATTGATTAACGCTGAATTAAATGGAGTTAGCTCACATACCTTCTCCACTGCAAGTCATTTCGATTCGCTCTCTTCTCTTCACTTCATTCCCTGATTGCCTGTTAAAATCAACGAGTGCATGAAATATACATATTCAAACATCCATTCTCGCATTCGGCTTATTTAATTACGTTATTCACCAACGCGAGTTAAGTCGATGATCATATACGAGGATTGACGACATGTGTACTTCAATAATAATCATTCATACGATATTACTAGAGTCAGATCTCGGGCCACTAAAGTGATGACCCCGTCGACACCAACGTCGGATCTAAATGACGACAAAATAAAGAGCCCCACTAAATACCACCCAGTGATCAATTGTGATTACATCTCAATCCTACAGCAGGTCGGTCGCAGTTCGGATAGCCCAGTGGTAACGTCTCTGTCTGTGAAGCTGGGTGACACGTGATAGAATCCGTCAGAAAGCATCAGTTCCCTCAAGACTACAGGTACACCTTGCTGACGAGTGCCAAGTAGCACGAAACTTCAGTTCAGGGTTTCTTGTGGACTACCTCCAACCACTATCTTATTTCAACATAGTGCACGCAGTGTCAAGTCACCTAGACTGGTGGCCACATTGCAACATGGTCGATAGCATCTGATCTGCACTAATAATAAAGACTTGACACGCATGACATTGATCGCCACCCAGTGATCAATCAATTGTAATCATAACATAATACATACCGGTTGTCCAGGCATAATCCGGTTAACATAAATTACCAGATATCAAAGAAGACATAGTGTTGATATTACTGTTCATGTCTGATTGTACTATGGTTTCAATTTTTAACATCAATATCTCTAATATTTGTAACTCTTATTGAAGCTAATGTTATAACTATCAACTGTTATATCTGCCGAAATGTTTAACTGAATTATGCTTTGTACAAAAAAACCCCTAAATCTCTGCAATGTGCAATGAAAATACAAAGACAAATGAAATGGATCTTTTTTCTTTTTAGATCCCGGAAGAGAAAGTTATCTTAATTCTGATTGGTTCACTCAAGGTCGTCAGGTTATTATTACAATTTTACCCGATTTTCTTATATCATTTTAATTAAACAAATCAATGGAAATACTTAAATTATTTAATTTAATGATAAGAAAATATTTGCTCCAAATATCATTCACCCTTCATTGTCACTAAGATAAAATCGATCAATAGAGGTGAGCCAACAACGAACATACACACCACTTCAAGGTCATAGTGCAGAGATGTATCAACTTATAATCTTGTCTATGAGATATGGATGTTCAGTTCTTAAATGATGAAAATAGCATTAAATAATTACATTGAAAGTTATGAGTAGAATATAGGTTTTAGGATTTAAAGTTGAGGTTAGGAATAGGGTACATCCTGATTTAACAGTACTTCTAGGTTCTCTATAGTGGTCTAGCTTCAATTGACTCATGATTTCAACTATTGAAATTACCATAATATCCACAAAATACCCCCTCTGATAATAATCAACATATGCTCACTAGTGACGGTCTCTAAGAGGTATTTCCCGGAGTTCTAGTGAGAAGCAGTGACCAATGGAGTTGAACCGGGTCTGTTATGAGATAGTAACTCATTGATGACAATGGTGGATGTGTCGCTACATTTCGTGGATTAGTTGAAGTTAGACATTAACACTGGTGGATGCCGACTGACTCAGTGGTGTAGTGATTAAGCGTTCGCACCAGAGACTGATAGGTCTTGGATTCAACACTCGAGAGATGGGATCATCGATACGCACTGCCACGTAGTAATCCTATAATAGAACCAAACGGCTGTTCAGTACTTTCAGGTTTTCCATAGTAGTCTAGCTTCAGTTGACTCATGATTTCAACTATTAAAATGACCATAATATTCACACAAAAAAGCCTTCTGATACATTCAATTGTCCTCACTCGGGTGTTCTCGTTCACTACACCAAGACCTTCAGTCTCGTGAACAAACACTTAACCTCTCGACAACTAAACCGATACTGAAGAATTAGTTGATTTGTTAAGGCATATTATTAATTCTCCAATCTTAAAAAGGTTCATTATCTCTTACAAAATCTTTATTTTAGTAGTTGAGATCATGAGCCATTTGAAGCTAGACCACTGTGGAAAATCCGGAAGCACTGGATGACTGTTTCGTTTTACTCCTCAGCAGTGCGCATCCACGATCCCGCTTCGCGAGATTCGAATCCAGGACCTATCAGTCTCGCACGCGAGCGCTTAACCACCAGACTACTGAGCGGTCATCCAACAGC